GCCATCCACCATCTCACCCTCTGTCATCCCCTTCTCCTCCCACCTTCAACCTTTCCCAGCTTCCAGATCTTTTCAAATGAGTCAGTTCTTCACATCAGGTGGCCAAAGTATTGGAGTTTCAGCTTCAGCATCAGTCCTTCCAGTGAACACCCAGGACTGATCTCCTTTAGGATGGACTGGTTGGATCTCCTTGCAGTNTCTTTAGATCTTCTTTGCTTTCTGCCATAAGTGTGGTGTCATCTGCATATCTGAGGTTATTGATATTTCTCTCAGCAATCTTGATTCCAGCTTGTGCTTCATTCAGTCCAGCATTTCTCATAATGTATTCTTCATGTAAGTTAAATAAGCAGGGTGACAATAGCCTTGACATACTCCTTTCCTGATTTGAAACCAGTCTGTTGTTCCATGTCCAAGTTCTAACTGTTGCTTCTTGACCTGCATACAGGTTTCTCAGAGTCAGGTCAGGTGGTCTGGTATTCCCATCTCTTTAAGAATTTTCCACAGTTTGGTGTGATGGTTAAGGGCTAATCCTATATAGGATTTAACAATTAAGCACTGCTTTTCCTCCTTAGGGTGAGGAGGATAAAGTGTGAACTGTCATATACCCTTTAAAGCAATATGTTTGGTTCAGGAATTAAATTGTATTCCATAGAGAGGAAATGTATGTATTAATTACTAGAAACAATCATTGCTTTTATGATCTTGACATTTAGAATGACTGTATTTGGTGCTTAAAATAGCTGATCACTTTATTTTCCTGACTAATTTCTTGTTTCTAAATGATAAAAGAAAAATGTATGGATCTTTAACTGCAAACACTCTTCTGTATGTAACACTTTGCAAAGGCAGGTAGCCTTTATCCCCGATCAATGTAAAGGTCCATGGAGTCAAAGCTATGGTGTTTCCAGTAGTCATGTATAGATGTGAGAGTTGGACCATAAAGAAGGTTGAGCACCAAAGAATTGATCCTTTTGAATTGTGGTGCTGAAGAAGACTCTTGGGGTCCCTTGGACTCCAAGGAGATCAAACCAATCAATCCTAAAGGAAATCAACCCTGAATACTCATTGGAAGGACTGATGCTGAAGCTGAAGCTCCAATACTTTGGCCACCTGATGCGAAGAGCTGACTCGTTGGAAAAGACTCTGATGCTGGGCAAGATTGAGAGCAGGAGAAGAGGATGACAGAGGATGAGTTGGTTGGATGGCATCATTGATTCAGTGGACATGGGTTTGAGCAAACTCTGGGAGATAGTGGAGGATAGGGAAGCCTGGTGTGTTGCAGCCCGTGGGGTTGCAAATAGTTGGATGAAACTTAGCCACTGAACAACTACAACAATGAAAAGCCAACTGGAATGTAAGATATAACTGTTGCCTTTTTGCAACATTTTATCTTGTGGACTTTTCAAGCATACTTGAGTTTGCAGTGTGCAGGATGCAGACTGTGATGAGGGGAATGCAGCTTCCTGGACAGGGCGAGAATCGCGAGGTGAATTTGCAAGATGGATCTTCTGCCCTCTGACGGGCAGTGACCAAGAATAAGGACAATAGGAAGCAGGGTCCTGGGTGAGCAAGCAGCTGTCTGCCCTCCCAGTGGTGTAGGCTGCTGTTAAAGGAGCAATGTTCAAATTATTTTACTTACCAACTTGCCAAAAACCAGAAACAGAAATGTGTTATCCTCTTTAGGGATGAGAGTCCCTAAACACATAACAGGGAAACTAAACAATGTTACATCATTCAGAATGATACAGTGTGAGTAGATTTATTTACATGAAAAGATATTGTACTTCTGAGTTGAAAAATGCAAGTTACAAAGCAGTTTATGTTGTATGAGTCCATTTATGGCAGGAAATAAAAATCAAAGTCCATACAGTCAAATATTTCTAGTGGTTTTCTTGACAGGAGGGAAAAATGTTGGATTCTTGGTATTTTTTGATTCCTGTGTTTTTCAGTGCATATTGCCTGTAACATATTGCTTACGGGATTCAGAAAAATAAAAACAAAGAGGTGGCTATTATTTTTAAGAAGAAGATAGGAATGACAGAGAGACCATAATAGTTATCTCCCACAGTTTATTTTAAAATAATGCCTTTATTGATCTCCTGAGACAAATATTCCACCATCCTACAAGAAGGTTTGCATATACAGCTTGTGTGGATGCAAAAGTGATCTGTCTGCTGACATACTGCAGCATTAAACGTCTTTAGTATGTGGCATTTACTATATAATTACTCCCTCAAATACTAGCTGTTTACTGATAATGAAATAACAAACACAGAAATAGGCACAGTCATAAATTACTGGTAGTCACCATAGCAACACCCTATGAGAACTTCTATTTTTGTCCTCATGATTACAAAATTACTTTTGCTAACAGTCTTACATCGTGTATATTTTAAATATATGTGAAATATTTTTAAACACACCTTTTATACATTATTTTAAATAAATATAAATTATTGCAAGTTTTTTCCCTCCCAGAAAAAACTGGAGCATTTTTTTGCTAGATATCAAAGTACCTTCTATTAGACACAGCAAGGCCATCTTTCACAAGGAAAATCAATATAGGCATTTTTCAGCTGCCCTCAATTAAAATTATTATAAAGACATTTGCCTAATCTCACCTTCCTGACTCATAACTTCTGAAGGTTGTGGTTTGGTTTTAACTGAAATACACTGGTGATTGTTCAGAACTTTGTTATAAGAATGAGAAAACCAATTATGTTACTTCAATAGATAAAATTAACATTATTCCTAGAGACTATATTTTAGAAATCTCAGTCCTTACTGTTTAGTATTAATCATCTTTAAAAAAGAAAGAAAATTGATCCCGGTAAAAAGACACGTTTACATTTGAAGTGGTTGGTTTTGCCTTGTTCATTTTTTAAATTTTGCAGGGATGGGGTTGGTGGCTTACTGGAGGCAAAGCAGGTTCAAACACAAACCTTGTGCCCTGCTGATGCTTGTGGCTCTGGGAAAGCAGGAAGGACTTACAGCCTCTGAACCTCCTTCACTTCTTCCCTAAACCATCAGACTGTTTCATGAGTGGTAACATGCCTAGAGTTTTGGGGCTCCCCAGGTGGCACAATGGTAAAGAATCTGCCTGTCAGTGCAGGAAATGCAAGACACGGGTTCAATCCCTGGGTCAGGAAGATCCCCTGGAGAAGGAAATGGCAACCTGCTCCAATATTCTTGCCTGGAGAATTCCATGGACAGAGGAGCCTGTCAGGCTAGAGTCCATGGGGTCGCAAAGAGTCGGATACGACTGAGCAACTTTCACTTACACTTACTATGGATGTAATGACTCATCCACTGAAGAAATATTCACACAACATATATCACATGCTAGTCACTTTCCAAGGTACAAAACTGCAAAAGAGGTCAAGACGGGCCCATCCTCGGCCCTGTCAGCACTGACACGTCTAGTGGGGAAGGTGGACACGCATCAGCTAATTCCTGCAGAGGGTGGCAGGTGTGACACTGAGCAATCCGGAATACCAGAAGGCCACTATGAGAGAAGGCCACCAACCCAGACCAGGGCTGTCGGAGGAAGCGGTGTCTGAGTGGAGAGGTGAGCAACAAGGGGTATTAGTGAAGTAAACGGGGAGATGGGGAGAGAGGAAGGAGGGAGCAGCAAGCACAAAGGCCCAGGGCTAGGGAGTGTGTGAAGTCTGAAGAAGCAGAAATTCAGGAGTGAATTATGAAAGCGGAGGGTCTTACCAGTCAGAGAAAGAAGCCTGGACTTTACCTTGACCATGAAAGGGAGAGAACAAAGGGTTTCAGCAAAAGACCATTGAATACTGAAAAGAGTCTTTTATCAGTAAAAAAAAAAAAAAAAGTCAGACTTTTTTACTGTCAGAAAAAAATTTGCACAACGTGAGAGCTGAGAGTTAAGTTTTATTTGAGACAGATGAGGACTGTAGCCCAGGAGACACCATTTCAGATAGCTCGAGAAACTCCTCCTAGGCTGCGAGAAGAGGAGCTAGGATAGATAAGAGTTTTACAATAAAGGGCAGGTAGTTTGGAACATCAAAAGATTACTGTTAATTAAAGAAACTAGATGTGTCAAATTAAGGAATTTAGCACTTTTCTGTGTATGGGGAGATGCAAGAGTATGGGCTCACTGAAATCATGGCTTTGATATGCACCTCAGCTCTCTGGGGCCAGGATCCCGTATTTTCATATTCTGAGTTTCCTCAGGGCTCATCGTAGGGAGTGGCTGCAATCTGATGGCTGCTAGATGGCAGGTAGTCTTTCCTTCCGGAGGCCCTCAGGGTTCATTGACTCACACTGCAGGGCTGCAGTCTGTTGACTGTGACATCCTTGTTTACTGACATGGCAGGAAATATCCCATTTCTCAAGACCATTGAAAAAATATTAAGAAAGATGATTGAAGTAATCTAGCTGAATGATGGTCAGATGGTCTGAACTAGGTAATGACAGGAGAGAGTATAAACATGGATACAAGAGATCTTCATAGATCGTAGACTCATAGGACCTGATAATTGATTGGACGAGGGTGGTGAGGGAACAGAACCACAGTGTAATTCCAGGAAGATGAGGGCCCAGAAACTCCTCACGGAGGTCAGGCGCTGGATCTCCTCCCCAACCAGCTCCAATTAAAGTGTTTCTTTTCTCACATGAAGAAAATTCCATATTTCACTTAATTCTGAAAATTGGATGTTGCTTTCTTAAATTTTGTGAATGAAATGTAATTTAGCCAACATTAGGATTTTGCTTTCATCACAACACAAAAAGAATTAAAAGGAAAAAAAACCCCACACCTAAACATACAGCATATGAAGCCTACAGATCATTAAAATACTTAACACAAATCCAAACAATTTGTCTTAAAGGACCCTCAGAGGGTGGACACAGTCAAGGGGCAGGAACCACAAAAAAGGATTTCATTTGGCACAAACACATTAACAGAAGCTGAAAGGTGCTCACAAATGAAAGGCATTTTCACAATGTTTGAAGACACACTTACGAAACCAACAAAGTTGGTCAAATTTTCCTTTTATTTTTTTTGAAAGCTAGCCTAGCCGTTTAGTCTACTCAACTAAGCTCCAGCCCAGGCAGCTCACACAATCATTCCTGAGTCCCGAGGCACATCCCAGGGGGTGAGGGGTCAGGCAGTCAAAGAAAACACAGGACAGACTAAGAATGTCACACCCCGGGAAATGGATGTCTTTTCTTGAAATTCACATAAAATGGCTTAAGTCTTATCAGAATACGTCGTCTGCTTGGTTGTAGGACGTGTCTGATTCCACAACCCCGATATTTTCATAACTGTAGTTTCTATCATCAGAGGTAGTTTCACTTTTACTCTTCTTCCTTTTCAGCAGTTTTCCTTCCTGCAGGTCAGACGGTTCAAATATGGCACAACTCACGGTTTTGAGTCCTTTTGCAAATGGAACCTCCTCCCCAACCGGTTCAGCTGAATCTGAATGATGGGCTGGGGGAGGAAGTCTGTCACTCTGTAGCCTTTTTCTTATTTCTTCTTCTTTAGTCTGAAAAGCAGGGTTAAACGGTGAAAAAAGAGTCCAAGTAACTCTCTCCAAGTCCTCATTAATACTGCCTGTAACCATCATTTCTGGCTTCTCTATTTCATTATGCAGTCATTCAACAGAGGTTGAGGAATTACTGTTGAAGGAGACAGACCTCCCCACCCCCATACCCTCCAGACACTCTCAAGGAGCTATGGTCTAGTCCTTGCTCTTTGGGATGGCAACAAGAGACACGCAAGTACAGGCTGTCAGACAAAAGCAATGAAGGCTGGTTCCCAAAAGAGTGGCCAACAGAGCGTGAAGGGGACCATGCGTGTGTGAATGCGGCAGGCGTTGTCTGAGGTCTGCACAGCCTCCTCTCAGCTCCCATGCTCCAACCGACACCTCCTGCCACCCAGGGCCCCAACTGATGTTTCCTTCTCTTTTCGTAATAGGAAGAAAATATCACACTTAATTCTCAGAAGTAGATATTGCTTCCTTAGGCTTTATGGATGAAGCTGTAATTCGACCAAATTCAAGATGGTGCTTCATTTCTTCACCACACAAAGAGAACTTAAAAAAATTAAGTATACAGCATGGGAAGCATCAGGATCACTAAAAGAATTAATACAATCCATGCAATTTGTCTGAAAGCTGCTGATTAGAGAGGATGCGCTCATTCAGAGCAGCGCCCCTCACGTGAGAGCTGGGCTACCTTCCTGCGTGCCTCCACTGCCCGCATCTTCTCTTCTATGTCCTTCATCGTGAAATCTTTTCCTTCCTTCTTGATCTTAAGTTTTTTCAGCCTGGCTGGTGGCTTTCTCAGCGGCTTCTCGGCAGTGCTCACCTGGGGGAAGACACTTTTTAAAATGGGGAGATAAATGTATTCACTGGCAAAGAGAAACGCAAGAGAGAGTGAATAAACATTGTTTAAGGTGTTAGTCCTAAAAATCTAAACAGATTTTTGGATAGATTTGAAAAACAATGATGTGAAAACTGGTAAAAATTGAACTCACTCCTAAAGTCTTAATTCCTGCTAACAACAGAACTAATTCCTAAAGAAAAAATATCTACTGGATGTCTAGGAAAAAAAAAAAAAACCAGAAAACAAACATGAAAAAATGCAGATATGGAAGAAGGCTCATAAGAAGGAAAAAAAGCCCGAAGAACATAAATAAGATGGGAGAAGGTGGCAAATGAATGCTGGATGCATTTGTAATTCAAGGTAAAAAGTTAAACCCCATGATTTTTTAATATTCCACAAGCAACCAAAGACTTTCATTTGGGATTGAGATTAGTGTTAGAACTTTTGGTCTTATGGAGGAGAGGTTTAACAATCACTGCAACTCTGCTCTGCGCTGGGCTTTGCTGTTGGTTCTTTCCACATGTTTTCACGACAACAGAAAAAAAAACCCATACTATTTACTATGAGGGTTTCCCAGGTGGCGCCAGTGGTAAAGAACTGCCTGCCAATGCAGGAGACACAAGAGACATGGGTTCTATCCTTGCGTCAGGAAGATCCCCTGGAAGCGGGCATAGCCACCCACTCCAGTATCCTTGCCTAGAGAATCCCATGGAGAGAAGCCTGGTGGGCTACATACAGTCCATGGGTCGCAAAGAGTCAGACATGACTGAAGTAACTTAGCATGCATGCACATCTCCTATGACTGGCCATCGTTTCTATAGTTTACAGCAGTGATAATGACTTTATCATTTCTAGTTATTAAAAAAGGTTAAACTGTTGTAAAGGGTTTGCAAAGAAAGTTTAATTTTTAAAAATAATATACCTTGGTTATGAAAAGTTAAAATGATACATAAATAGTCCACTAATTCTCTGTTTAGGGGATCCAACCAGTCCATCCTAAAGGAAATCAGTCCTGAATATTCATCGGAAGGACTGATGCTGAAACTCCAATATTCTGGCCACCTGATGCGAAGAACTGACTCATTGGAAAAGACCATGATGCTGGAAAAGATTGAAGGCAGGAGGAGAAGGGGACGACAGAGGATGAGATGGTTGGATGGCATCATTGACTCAATGACATGAGTTTGAGTAAACTTCGGGAGTTGGTGATGGACAGGGAGGCCTGACATGCTGCAGTCCATGGGGTTGCAAAGAGTTGGACATGAGTGAGCAACTGATCTGAACTGAACTGAATCCTCTGTTAACCAGCTGGCCCTTGAATGCATTCATCAGCATGAGTTTGGTGTGGGTCTTTCCAGATATTCTCTGTGCTCATATTGCCATTCCCTTCTCCAGGGGATCTTCTCAACCCAGGTGTCTAATCTGGGTCTCCTGCACTGCAGGCAGATTCTTTACCATCTGAGCCACCAGGGGAGCCCCATGCCCATACATCTATATACATATATTAATATATTCACAGTGCATCTGTCATGTTCAGCCACTCAATGAAATTATACTATATACAACCCACTCCAGTATTCTTGCCTGGAGAATTCCATGAACAGAGGAGTCTGGCAGGCTGCAACCCATAGAATCACAACAAGTTGGGGACAACTAAACTAACACAACTAAGCAACTAACACACTAACTTGTTTTATTGCAGTAGCCTGGAACTGAATCCACAGTATCTCCAGACTAGGTAGTTGCCCTACCTATATATATTGTATAGGTATACAATAAAACCCCTATATATTGTTTTAGTTAATTTCTCTAAAGACTTTTAAAGACAAAGGAGCTATTGATATTCATTTTCATATCTAAAAGACTGTGTCTTCAGATTGCAAGATGGTAGTTACTGAGAAGATAAATCTCACAAACACAGACGGTTCAGCACAGCAGGAAGAGCACCAGACCCAGACTCGCACAGCCTGGGGTTTGAATCCTGGCTCAGTCACGGTGTGGCTTTGCACAAACTCGTGAACTCTGTAGGCTTTCCCTTACTCATTTGTGAAATAGGTTTAGTAATACACGTTTCACAATCTTTGTTTTTATAAAAGCAAAGCATGCAATAGCCGCTCGATAAACGGTGATTACTTTTCATTCAGTGAAAGCATGGACTTTGTTCAATGACAGCACACGGAATCACACCAAACACAGTACTTATCAAGAAGGGGACAAATGAGATAGAGAAGCTCGGAGGCCAGCAGGCAGGGGTCCTGGGCTCTATTTCATCCTGAGTCTACCACTGCTATCCACTGGGTGACCTGACACAAAGCATTTTGTCTCTCTGGACTCACTTTTCTCAAAATTATACGATAGACGCTGCCTTGCAATCTGCTGAGGATGGCTAAGGTTCCTTCCAGCTTTAAAATCTATGATTCTTGGAAAGCCTTTTAGAAGGAAAACATTTATTAAAGTTTTGGCTCAGCTGCAGCCTTCAGACAGTTTTATGTGGTGAGAAATTGTGCACTGCAGGAAAACTGGGAGATGTTTGTCAAAGCAAGTTCCCCTCCCCCACTCTTGCTTCATTTTTGTATGACCATTGGCTTTTAGGCTCCCTGCTGGCGAAAGCCATCTGCTGAAAAGACAGATATGCTTGCTATGCGGGCTCAACTGAAGATACTGTAAAATTAGAAGACAGTTTTTTAGGGACATTCACTCAAGAGAGGGCTAAGGAGAATATGATACAGTCATCTAAAATCCAATAAACAAAGGTTCCTTCAGGCTTACACAGGATCTGAACCTTGATTTAAGTGAGGAGATCAACAGTTTCCAGAGATCTTGGGCTGTCTGGTTTGGGTGGGCTCTTCTTGTGGCTTTATCCAAAAATGACTCTTAAGAAATCATGTGCTTCCTACCCTTTGTGGAGGTTAATCCTATCTGGGCAACCCCTGTCTTTTCTTGAGTTTGACATTTTAAAGAAAAGCCTTCAAAGACCTGAGAAAATCTATCTGTATTCTTTACCACTGGATTTTATGAAGTCAGGAGTTAATCAACTATCATTCTGTATCATTTATCAAAAATGATAGCATTATATGATCACATTATACCTAGAGAGCTACCCATAGAAACCATACAAAAAATCAGCTTCAAAACCTATAGAAGTTATTAGTTCAACTATTTTCTTTACGAGAAGCAGCAGGGGATGGCATGCCCAAAGATGCTGTAATAAATTGAGGGGTCTTGTTTCTAGCCAGCCTACCTTGTATACATTACTTCTGGCATCCTCCGAACTTTTCTACTTAACTATTGACCGACAAACTTACTTTGGCTATACTCCCTTAGTGAGAGTCTTGTGCATAAAGTAAGGCAGATTCTCAGAAGAGATCTGTCATTCCTGCTCATTGTTAAAACCTCCAAGACAGTCATTCTGAGCGTGAACTGCCATTATTTTGTCTTTATCTGGTCAACTTCCTCCCCTTTAAAAAAACTCCCCATGAGGTTCAACAATGTTAGAAACTCTGATAAGGTGTCAACAAATTCCCTAACAGTATTGAAAGTTATCAAGGACAGGAGTTGGCTTGAAATGGGAATCATCTTGGACCAGAGATAGGAGGACTCAACAGAGAACTGAGGGCCTTGTGCAGGAAAACCCAGGATGGGAGAAATGAGTTTGGGATAAAAGAATCTTAAGTGGATAATGGGTTTCCTTGGTAGCTAAGTGGTAGAGAATCTGCCTGACAATTCAGGAGACTCGGGTTCAAGCCCCTGGAGAAGGAAATGGCAACCCACTCCAGAATACTTGCCTGGGAAATTCCATGGACAGAGGAGCCTGGTGGGGTTCCTTTGGGGTTGCAAAGAACTGGACATGACTTAGAGACTCAGTTAACAGTCAGTTCAATCATTCAGTCATGTCCAACTCTTTGCCACCCCATTGGACTGCAGCACGCCAGGCTTCCCTGTCCATCACCAACTCCTGGAGCTTGCTCAAACTCATGTCCATTGAGTCGGTGATGCCATCCAACCATCTTATCCTCTGTTGTCTCCTTCTCCTCCTGCCTTCAATCTTTCCCAGCATCAGGGTCTTTTCTAATGAGTCAGTTCTTCCCATCAAGTAGGCAAAGTATGGGAGTTTCAGCTTCAGCATCAGTCCTTCCAGTGAATATTCAGGACTGACTTCCCTTAGGATGGACTGGTTGACTTAGTGACTAAACAACAAAGTGGATAATACCTATATGGATAAATGAGAGCCAATCCCATCTCTTTAAAGAGATCTGTACCAAGGCATACACATATTTACATGTGTACATAAAACCAGTTTATATTTATAATACAATCACTGGAGTCTCATGAGAATGCTTTAAAATGTACCGGATGATTCACTTGGTCTGATAATTTAGCTTCTGTTTTTTTTTTTTTAATTTAGCTTCTTAACATTGTATTTCTTACATATCATTATAATTCTGAGTGAGCGTAACATCTATTAATATGAATATGCTTTCAGGCAGGTTATCCAGGAATGGACATAGTACTGGCTAAAAAGTAGATGATGAAAAAAATTGAGAAAAAATTGAGGTACTTCCCTGATGGTCCAGTGGTTAAGACTCTGCACTTCCAAACAAACAAAAAGAAAATGAGCGGGGGTCCCTGGACAAAGACACACCTGTGGACCTCTCGGAAGAGACTACGTCATAGGGGAGTCCCCTTTTCAGCATCCTTTGTTCTATTTCACTCTAAAGGATAATGGAATTAAAGATAACAACCTGGCTAAGGCGGGGACAGATCTACGTCTAAAATTCCCTTATATTTTTAAGTAACTATTGGTCTGCTTAAGAAGTCTTATTTTTAAAGTATTCTCACATTTACTGTTCTGTTTTTTTTTTTTCTCATAATATTTCATTTAAAGTTTTTTTTTTTTTAAAGCCCCCAGTGAAGAAATGGTGTTTACATGTCTGAATCCAACCTATTGTAGTACCGACTGACACTAACATTGCCTTTTTTGGGGACTATTCCCTTTTTGTTTCCTTTGGCTCTTTGTTTCTTAGTTAAAAGTATTAACTGTCTCATGATATTTTCATTCTTAATATGGTTCCCCTTTAGTCCTTCAATATTCATTCTCATCTTTTTACATTGGCCTTGTAACTTTCCCCCAGATATTCAAGATCTCTGGTGTCTGACATACACGTTCACAGCTACACATGAATTGAAAGAGACTTCACCCGTGACCCTGAGCAATTATATCTCTTCATTTCCATATGCTTCCTAGGTACCATCTCAGTCCTCTAGTGAACAGATGCTCTATTTTCTGGAATATTTTAGGACTTTCTTTCAGGATGAATGGGGGAATTTCAGTTTCAAAAGCTTTAACCCTTCCCAGCTTGATCATGAATTTGAGGGTTTGGTGTACACCTTTATTGACACTTCAGGGCAGTACTTCTCAACCTGGGCTGCTCAGGAGGACCCTGGGAGCTTTCAAAGAACCACATTCTGGGGCCCAGCCTCTGCCACTGGTCCCAGGAGTTCTGAAAGCTTCCTGGGTGATGTGAATGTTCAGGTTAAGGACTGTGCTAGGTAATAAGATGCATTACCATTCTGACCTGTTGTAAGTCTGGCTTTTGTTGGACATCTTGGCCCAATTTCAAACCAAAAAAACAACAACAACACTAAACTGTGTTATTCTTGCTTACCTCTGCAGTTCTGTCACATTTACATCCTTCTGAGAACACTCCAACTATGCTCCCCCACCATTCCATTTCTGCATAATACAAATACAAATGCAGCCTTCATCTTTGGTTCTCTTAATGATGTTATTGAAAGTCAAGCCTGCAGTTTTCATTTTTTAATAGATACGCCTCTTTCACGATGTAGCTTATATTAATTAACCTTGCTGGTGCCCTAGTGAGGTCTGAGTCTGAATTCATTCATCTCGAGCATTAGAATCACTGAAAAATATTTTAATGCTACTCCCACTGGTGTGAGCATCAAGGGACCATAGCATCTCTCTTCAGAAGGCATTGCTTAGTTACTGAATGTCCACACAATCTATCTTCCTCCAGATGGCTCTCCTGTCTTTTTTTTTTTGATCCACCTTTTATTTTCTGATTCCCCAGAGATTCATCTATAGCGAGAAAAAAAATCTCTCCTAGCCTTTTTCATATTAAAGACACATCATTTTTTAGTACATTGAAGTAAGACAAGGTACTCCAAAATGCCCTGTATCCTGATAGCTGGCCTTATACAAATGTAAATTGTCATTATGTTGGCATCATTTTTTCCATCATATGGTCCATTTTTACCTTCCCTCACTTCCTCCTATTATTAGCAGCTTGATAATATCATTCATAAGGCTTAACAATCTCCTTCCATTTGCTGAATACTTTCTGTAGCACTTATTTTTTCCTTCTTTGAAAGAAAATGCCATGTTGGCTTTTATTCACGAGTTCTCAGCAAGTCCCACACACAGAGAAGGAAATTACCTTTACTGAAATACTAAGTGACTTAGTGACTTAGTCTAGGTGGCAAACTTGATTTCAATAATGAATCTTCTTATTCCCTATTGATTGTTTTCCCTACAACAAAGGAGACTGGCCACCACTGAGGTGGCTTTGATATAATTTCAGGCCTCAATTTCCATCATTTCAGTTTCCTTCTTTGCTTTCTTATTCATTTTCCCTTAGGCCTCTTTTCTGTGTTATTTCTTCTTTTTATCTTCTTTTTCCCTCTGTCTATGCTTTAGGATTACAGGTACTGCTGGGAGTAGTGACTTAAAAAGAAACCCAAACAAACAAGAGAACTAAGCAAAATAACACCAAGCCTGATATCCTCACCACAGGTTTGCAAAGAACTTAATAAAAAGTGAAGAACTCAAGACTTTGACCACAACCAGTTAAAATCAAGCTAAAACAAACAAGTCACACTACAGAAAAACAATGATTGATTAGTTAAGGTGAACTGACAAAGAAAAATAGGGTATAACAATTTTTATCATTTCATTTTATTTCTTCATGATTGACCTCTAGGTGGGTATATAAATGATAAGCATATCTGCTTTAGCTTTGGTATTTAGGCCTATTTTCTTATTGGCTAAGCCAGCGTTCAGTTCTATATTCACATACCTGATACAGAGGCAACGTTTAACAAAAATTGCTGAAAGAAGGAAGGCATTTTATTCAGTGGGTCTTAGGTTTCAAAGTTTGGTAAAAACCCAAGATATGTCTTATTGGATTCATTAATCATTAATGATCAGGCAATTCCTGAATCCATAGAGAAGGATGGTGTGTGGAAGGGTGAGGGAGTTAATGGGAGGAAAAAACTGGCTTAGATAAATGCTATAGTATAATCTGTATTGTGACACTAAGATGCATATTGCTGGAAAAAATAACTTGTGATCAGTCATATCCTGTTGCTATCTTTAACTATGTAGGCTATGCTGAGTCACTCAGTCATGTCCAACTCTTTGTGACCCCATGGACTGTAGCCCACCAGACTCTTCTGTCCTTGGAATTTTCCCAGCAAGAATATTAGAGTAGCTTATCATTTCCAGGGGATCTTCCTGATCCAGGGATCAAACCTGAGTCTCTTGAATCTCCTGCACTGGCAGGCAGATTCTTTAGCACCAAGCCATCTGGGAAGCTCATTTTTCCTATAAGTTAGTGTTAATTACAAAATTACTTGCCATGACATCATATGATTCTCCATTTCTAAATACTTTGCTGTGGCTCTGTATTATTCCTTGAACAATTAACTCCTCCAGAATGTCTGATGACTTTTGTCGCTCTCGATTCTCTAAGGGTTGGGGTTTATGGATTAATCCATTGATCGCTAGGTCTTCCAAAGGAAAAGAAAAAGAGAAAGTGAAATTCAAGCACAATGATTTTATCAATCAAATGCTAAATACATGCTTTATAAATCATGCTAAATAATTAATTCTTAGTCTCAACACTTGTACCTAAATATGTTTCTATTACAAGTGTTTATAATCCTTTGAAGTTCAAATCCTTAATGTTCTTACAGAGGATAGTATCAACATAATATAATGTTTACTTAGCAGGTTGGAATATTAACATAACAAAAAAGTCTTTCATGTGCTGCTATATACTACATTTTTGTTGTAACAACACATATACACTTGGGTACGATCACACGGGTTCTGTGCAATAATTATGAAGCTAAACCACAGGCACAAACGAGATAGTCTTTCAGTGACTCTCACGAGTTGCAGTTTGGTTTCTATGCTTTGTATACAAAGGATAAACAGCGTGATGTTGCCAAGAGACTTCTAGTTCTGCAACCCTGAGTTTACAATTACGCCATCTGCTAAATCTACATAAGTAAAAGCATGCCTTTTTGAAAAGAGTCTTTGAACCAAATCAGAATTGGAGTCAAGTGGTAGCTAAGTTTTTATCAGTGATTCTAAAAATGGCACAGAAACAGTTTATAATGGAGCATTAACGAGAGGGACCGCCCCATTACACATCACCCAATTATATAAGTAAGCAAGGAAGCATCCGTTTTCACAACCTCATAAAATAAAGGTGCAGTGAGGGGTCATTGGAAATGAGCTCTCAGGACTTCCCTGGTGGTCCAGGGGTTAAGACTCCATGCTCCCAGTGCAGGGGGCATGGGTTTGATTCCCGGTCAGGATACTGCAAGCTGCACAGTACAGCCAAAATAAATTAAATAAATAGTCTCTAGCCACTGACACTTAAAAAAAAATGAAAGAAAGAAATGAGCTCTCTTGTATTTTAAGAAGCTCTTTCCATCCAGTGGATGAAGTCTTTTCACGAAAATTTCTAACATCACTGTTTAACGAAGACAGTTTTCATGAATTTGTAATGGGAAGATAGAAAAACCTCCCAGACACACACACACACACACAAACCAGCTGTCTCTCACTTCAGAATATTAACCTTCTTGAAATTTTTAACAAATATACTCTGTAGCTGTGAAGAGCAGGGATGCAGAGAGGAGACAGAGAGGAAACTGTGTACATACTAAGTCGCTTCAGTCTGTCTGACTCTTTGCGACCCCATGGACTGTAGCCCACCAGGCTCCTCTGTCCGTGGGGTTTCCCAGGCAAGGATACTGGAGTGGGTTGCCACTTCCTTCTCCAGGAGAATCTTCCCACCCTAGGGATCGAACTCACGTCTTCTGTGTCTCCTGCCTTGGCAGGTGGATTCTTTATCACTGTGCCACCTGGGAAGCCCCAGAGGAAACTGGGATGAGAACAAATAGAAAGCTCAGGGCACTGGTTTGTATTCATCCTGTGGGAAGCTCTTCCCTGAAAACAAATTGGTACTGCATTTTGAAAACACCTGCTTTTGTGGTTCAGCCCCTCACCCGCTGGTCTCTCTCTCCTGCCTTCCCGGGGCTTCCCTCCCCACACTGCTCTCAACAGTGTATACAGATGGCAGGACTGCCTGTCCGGAGGTACCCAGGTCCCTGTCCTCCTGACGATCTGTAGTCTGTTAATACGTGGATAGCGAGTGTTCGTATTGCAGTCTAAGAGGGATTCTCAACAGAATTATCAGAGAGAAAAAACACATGTGCTGGCCCAACACAGAGGGTGGGGGCGGGGGGAGCCCATTTCTGCCCTGCTTCCCCTACCCATCCCTCATCCTTAGAGGTCATGCTACACACTGTCAGAAGCACAAGACGAGGAGCAATGTGAAACCTGCGATGGACTTAGCGAATATTACGCTTAATGAAATATCAGACACAGAAAGACACAGACTATACAATATCACTTACATGTGGAATCTAAAAAACAACACCAACAAATGTATATGCAAAACGGAAACAGACTCACAGATATAGAAGACACCTAGTGGTTACCAAAGGTGAGAAGGAAAAGAGTAGGGGCAAGATAGAGGGAGGTAGGTAGGTGATGAAGAGATACAGCCTACTGTGCATAAAGCAGATAAGCAACAAAGATGTATTTTACAGCCCAGGGAATTATAGCCATTATCTTGTAATAAGTTTTAATGGCATATATAATCTGTAAAAATACTGAATCCCTATGCTGTACTCCTAAGACTAATACCATATTGTAAATCAACTATGCTTCAGTTTAAAAGATAAATAAAATGGGCATTAAAAAAAGGTTTGTCATAACCCAAGTTGCCACAACAGTCCAAGTAAAAGAAAGTCACTTACTATCCAATCTATTTTCCAACTCTAACTGGTTCCTAGGGAAGAAACTATGGGAATGAGGAATGAAATGAAAGCTTTCCCCTTTGAATAAAAGAGAGTACTCTTCCTGGGAGTCTGATAAGTTCAATTTGTTTTAAAGGCTGAAGAAATATAAATAACAGCTCTCAACACCAGAAGGTAGCTCAAGTAAAGTGAAAACACACCATTAAAAAAAAAAAAAAGCCCACTAACAGTTTCTAAAGAACACACTAGGTAAAAATTATGTCTTTGATGTTTTTGGAAGATACTTTTATGATATATCTGCTGATAGCTTTGAATGGGGAGAGACAGGAGAAGTCGTGTGATGTAGGTTTTACTAATTTTTTAAATGTACAACTCTGCCTTGGAAAGATGTTAGTATGGTGGGAGTTTTGAGGAATTTAACTAAAGCCTGGGCAACTCCTATTCCCAAGGCCTTATCCAACCACCAATAAAAGCTCTTAGTTTTTTTAATTAACTGATTAATTAGGCTGCGCCGGGTCTTAGATGCGGCACGTGGGAGCTTCCACCTTAGATGCAGTATGCAGTTTAGTTGCAGCACGTGGGATCTAGTTCCCTGACGAGGGATTGAACCCAGGCCCCCTGCATTGGGAGTTTGGAGTCTTAGCCACTGGACCACCAGGCAAGTCCTAAGGGCTTTTAGTTTTAAATGAAAAAGAAAGTATTAATTATGTCATCAACAAAATTTCTAGTATCTTATTAACTCATGATGTGAGTAAGTAATGGTTAGTATTACTCACATAATGAAGGCCTAAGGCTAACTCCTAATGTCTTAGTGATGGGACCTTATCACTGGAAGCACTGCCTGGAACACAAAAAGCAGTGATGTGAGTCCTCAAACACACATGATAAAATGTATTCAGAGAAACAGTATTTTACAGAGATCAACACGTACGGGGATCGTTACCTGAATTTAGTCTTCCATTTCTTTCACTAGGAGATGGGAAACTTTCTGCAATAGCTCCAGGTAAGCTTCCCAACTGGGCCTGCTTGTCCAGGTCTCCGGGGTTGCCTGTAGCATCCTCGGGCAGTGAAGTTTCAATCTGGGGTCTGTAATTCTCCCCAGAATGAGCCACACCAACATCAGCCTGTGAAAAGGGAAAGGCTTTGTGAGAGTCAAGACTTCCTAGAAAATGGTTTCTTTTAAAAAATTTTATGGAAGTACAGTTGATATGCAATTTTTTGTTTTTTTTAAATTTATTTTTATTTATTTATTTGTCTGCACCCGGTTTTAGCTGCAGCACGTGGGATCTTAAATCTTCGTTGCAGCATGCAGGATCTTTAGTTGCAGCAGTTGAAGTCTTAGCTGTGGCATGTGGGATCTAGTGCCTTGACAAGGGATTGAATCCGGGCCCTCTGCATTTGGAGCGTGGAGTTTTAGCCACTGGACCACCAAGAGAAGTCCCAGAAAATGGTTTCTTGGAAAATGAAAATGTCACAGGGTCTGCTTTATGAATATTTAGTCAATTGGTTATCTGTGGGAGGCTGAATAGTACCCAGCAACCTGTCGATGTGACCTTTTAAGGCAAAAGGGACTTCTTGGGTGTGATTAAATTAAGGACTTTATGATAGCAGGAGTATCCTGGTTATCCAGGGAGTTCTGAATGTAATCACAGGTGTCCTTAGACGAGGGAGGCCGAAGAAGATACGACTACAGAGAGAGGGAGTTGGTGATGTGATGTCAGAAGCAGGACACAGTTGAAGACGCTGCAGTGCCAGCAGCCAAGAAATGCAGCTCTAGAAGCTGGAAAAATCAAGGAAAATGTCAATGAGAAGATGCTTGAGTTGGGTCTTTATGAATGAGTTTCCAGTTGTTGTTTAGTCGCTAAGTCATGTCCAAATCCTTTGCGACCCCATGGACTGTAGCCTGCTAGGCTCCTCTGCTCATGGGACTTCCCAGGCAAGAATACTGGAGTGGGTTGCCATTTCCTTCTTCAGGGGATTTTCCTAACCCAGGGATCGAACTCAGGTCTCCTGCATTGCAGGCAGATTCTTTACCACTGAGCCACCAGAGAAGCCCAAAGTCCCCAGACAGAAGGGGAAAAGTTCATTCTAGACATAGGAAGAGTACGCAGGACGATGGGATGTGAAACAACATGGCGTGCTCAGAAACTTGAATTATTCCAGTTAAGCAGAAATAGACTAAGGTAGAAAGTGGTAGCTGCTGAGGTAGGAAAGTCTTTTGTGACAAGTAGACACATGCCATTTTGTGTTGAAGGCAACAGGAATCCTTTGTAGGCTTTCTATACATGGTAGTAAAATAAAGTGATCAGGTGTGATTTTTAGAAAAATTGCTCTTGGGTTAGTGCACACAGCAGGAGTGGAGGGAAGGAAGGGACAGAACGGGGTGACCAGGTATGAGGACTGCAACTGTCCAGGTGAGACTGGATTAAACAGGAGCTGGGACCCTGGCCGTGGAAGTGGGGGAAAGAGTGGGCCCCGGAATATTAGAAAGGAGGGGTAACAGACCTGTCAGAGCTTCAGTTCATAAAGGAAGGAGGCCCCTCTGGCTCTAAACTCTGACTCTAGGGACCAAGCAGAAAACATTCCCTCTAGGAAAATGATAAGAATCCAGGACATCAGCATAAAACTCTAACCTCAGTTGTGTTGGATTCTTTGTGAACCCATGGACTGCAACATTCTAGGCTACCCTGTCCTTCACTATCTTCTGGAGCTGGCTCAAACTCATGTCCATCGAGTCAGTGATGCCATCCAACCATCTCATCCTCTGTTTTCCCCTTCTCCTCATGTCCTTAATCTTTCCCAGCATCAGGATCTTTTCCAGTGAGTTGGCTCTTGGTACTTTCACAATAAAATTTTTAAAAAATACCAATTTTAAAAAGTTGAGTCAATCTGACCACTTTCTGGAAGCATTCCAAAGCTCCCTCAGAGGTTAAGGAGGAACCACCATTGATAGGTTGAGGGCCCCCATCATCCACAGGTTCTCATAATTCTATTAGCCATTCTTGTATGTTCTGTTAGTAGGGAGACTCGCATTGCTTATCATTCTGTTTACAGAACACGATCACTCCAGTTAAACCAACATCAGTTCATTATGTTGAGAGCTAATTAGTTCTGTGGTTCAGAACTATACGAGAAAATATGATAAACCAACCAACTCAACAAACAAAGAAGTAAGCAACAAACAAAAACTCAATGGTCCTGAAATATGACTCAGCTCAAGGATAAAGGGTGAGAACAACTACAGGCTTTTCTCTTTGTCTCTTCACCTCTTTCTTCTCAGACTCAGTTACTGTGCATAGAGCCCCTGAATAGTAAGCTGACCCAGGAAAAGAGTCTTTATATATAACATATTCCATGTTATGTTATTAAATAATAACAGTCATGTTTTATCAGACAGGGCCTCCTTTTCCTTTGTTATATGAAATATATATATACATAGCTATAGGTATACATATCTCATATTATATTTATATTTCATGTAACAGGAAAAGAAGACCCTGTCTGATGTTTATCTTTAAGGGGCTCACAGTTCACATGGAAGGTAAAGATGATTATATCCAGCATTCTTGCTCCTCTTGCCAAATGAACTATTAAAACCCAAGACCTGAAGTGATAGCAAGACAGATATTTTTACAAGTTCCTTTTGTTTCACAGATCCATCATTTTTTGAACATAGCAAACCACTGAGTTACACATGGGGACTGATTTTGCCATTTAAGATTTCCCAGGGGAGATCCTGAAACGGGGAACTGATTTAACAGCAACAATAACAAAAGAAAGCAAATGCCCACGCTGGAACTGAGAGCAAGTTTGAATGTTTTCAGCCTAACACGTGGCTTTTCACAAAGATATCTGTCAACTACAAGTCAGAATAGATTTACATGCCATACAACCTCCCAATTGTTTCATCAAAGCAGCTCATGCAGGCCTGAGCAAGGATCTTTCCCATTTATGCTTATTTTAATACAGTCTGCCTTCAAGCTCTGTCAGTGACCAAAACTCAAATTGTAGCCAATGAAACACAATCTTCCACCATAAAAGAACGTATAGCAACAGCCTTCAGTTTCTAGAGCAGAAATTTGAGGTTTTTCTCTTCTGCAAACCAACAATGTCTTTCAAATATCTTATCTATGTGCAACACATTCTGGAAGTTTTAACACCCAATTTCATAATCTAGACTTGAGAAAAATGTAGTTCAAAGACGAGAGATATTTACAAATTAATTAGATCTATGCCTCATGGGGATATGGTGTAGACAGTTTTCCTGGTCTGTCTATGCATGCAGAGTTTATATTTTCACACCAATAAGAAGTCTAACTGTAATGGTATGGGGGTGGGGAGGCGGGTAGAAGGTTTTATTTTTTCCTTGAGATGAAGTTGTAGCAGAAGTACAGATCAATGTTTCCATATTTTGTATCAATTTTATTTTATGCTTCATTGTCTTGGGGATAAAAATCTACCAATTTTAGACAGAAGTGAAAAGCTGTGAATTCCAAAGTAACAGCTATGCATGGGAATTATCAGCATCCCAAGAAAGGTAATAATTTTAACTATAGAAAGGTGTTTTGTTTGTGGGTTGGTTGGTCTGATGACATTATATGTTGTGTTCTAATGCTTTGTGGAAACAAATTTGACAAACAGTTTGGAAGGAGAGAGTCATCTGTCATAGTTCCCTGGAGCTGAAACCTTCCTAAATCAAATTATTGGCAGATAATTGATAAATGTATTTGTCTGTAAACATATGGGAAGAATTTTTCTTGTCAAATTTTGATTTTCTCTAGTTTACTCAAATAAACATAATAATAAATAGCAACCCTGAAAAACATTATCCTGAATATTCACTGGAAGGCCTGATGCTGAAGCTGAAGCTCCAAAACTCTAGCCACCTGATACAAAGAACTGGTTCTTTGGAAAAGACCCTGATGCTGGGAAAGACTGAAGGCAGGAGGAGAAGGAGATGACAGAGGATGAGATGGTTGGATGGTATCACCAAGTTGATGGACATGAGTTTGAGCAAGCTACAGGAATTGGTGATGGACAGGGAAGCCAGGCGTGCTGCAGCCCATGGGGTCACAAACTGAGACACGACTGAGCAACTGAACTGAAATGAATCAAAAACAACTAGAAATATAAGTTGTTTTTTTTTTTAATGCACTTTAAAAAGTTAACTCCCTTTACTGATGACAAACAAGAATTTTCCTGTCAAAGTTTAGGGGAAAACTGTAAAGGATACTCAGAAATCATCTATTCCAATCTAGTCTCTCCCCTTTTATATGAGGCAAGAAACTTTGAGCTGATCACATGGAAGAAGAGCATTTCTTCTAAGAACAGTTTCCCATGCTTTCTTTATTATGTATTATTTTATTACCACATCTTCTTGCCACTTTAAGGTACAGTGAGCAGAAAGTCGGCAGTCAGATCTCAAGAAGTTTGATTCAGAATATTTTAAAGTCAAGCTGCTAAGAAACATAAATATTTCTAGGCAAGCAGACGTGTTCATCTCATTTAAAAGACACTGCGTAACTAGGGAACTCTCAAGCCCTATGCATTTATGAAGGTAAAAACAGTACTGTTCTGATAGCCAAAGAGTTATTTAGTTAATAATTACACTTTTCCCAGATTGGATTTCCAAAGTCAAACTTTTGGAGTGGGGAGAGTCAAGTCCGAGTCTATTTTCAGGTCATTTTCATACCGAATTTCCTCCTTGCTGACTGTCATTAGTTCACTCACGCTCCTAGGAGACAAGAAGAGGCTAAGGAATCTGAGGAGCTCATGTCAGCATCAGCTCTACATGCAGTCACCCCAAAACATTCATCAATGTCTGCTCTGCACCAGACACTGTGGTGAGCCCTGGAAACTAAAAGACAAAAAACAGTTCTTTTCTTCAGTAATAGCTTCGGATGGGAGGCTAGCACGGAAAGAAATAAGCACAATAAATGTTTTGAAATATGATGGAAGAAGGTACGAGGTTCACTCTGCCAGCATGGGGGGAGGGGGAGTGTTACGGAGGAGAGTGGTCTTGAGTCATCTTGAAACCTGGGGGCATATCTGCCTGTGGTCCAGGAAGATGTAGAAGGTGGAGCTGAAGGAAAGAGGCTGTGGGGGCAAAGGTACAGAGGTAGGAACAGAATGGGTTTGGGTAACCCGTGGTGAGGTTTGATTAGAACAGGGAAGTAGGGAGAGATGAAACTGGGGCATTTGACCAGCATCAGCTTGAGGGTGGCTGGTAAGGTGTGCTAAGAACTTCGCGTTTTATCTCACATAAATAATTGTAATAATAGCGATTGCAGTAACTAACATTAATAGTGACTGTAATAACTAATAGTTGTAATAATAGTGATTACAATAATTAATATTAAGTGACTGCAATAACTAATAATTGCAGTAACAGTGATTGCAATAACTAATATTAAGTGCATATCCTGTGCCAAGCTCCTGTATGAGCACTTAATGTGAACTAAATTCATTTATTCCTCCCAGCAACTCTACAAAATAACTATCATTACTTTCATTTTACAGAAAAGGAAGCCAGGGCACAGAGAGGTCAAGTAACTGGACCCAAGTCACACAGCTGACAAGTGGTGAATCCAGAAATCAAACCTAGCTAGTAACACTCTTGACTTTTGGTGGACGTGCCTAGCTAGAGGGTCAGTGAATTTTTTCCAGCAGAGAATGGACATAATCAGATTTTATTTTAGAATGATCCTTCTGGAGGTCACGTGGAAGACTGGAGCCACAGGGCAGGTGGAAGCTGGTTGTGAAGGAAGCACCCAGGGAGACTAGTTAGGAGTGTTGTACAAAAATCCAGGCAAGGGGCAATGACTGTTTTACCCAGGAAAGGTCAGGAAGAAACCCAGAACCCCTCCCCAGCCTTGGGAATGCTTGGTCCAAAGGGACCCAGTGTATTTGACACTTGGAGACGATTGCTTTTCAGCACTCCTCCTCTATTAAAAAAAAGTGAAGTCGCTCAGTCGTGTCTGACTCTTTGCGGCCCCCTGAACTGGGGCCTACTAGAATCTTCCGTCCATGGGATTTTCCAGGCAAGAGTACTAGAGTGGGTTGCCATTTTCTTCTCCAAGGGATCTTCCCGACCCAGGGATCGAACCCGGGTCTTCCACATTGTAGGCAGATGCTTTACAATCTGAGCCACCAGGGAAGTCCCATGTATATATATACATAATATATAACCATTCAGTAATAACCATGAGATGGGACAAATGATAATGGCCAGAAAACAAACACAAACAGTAAAAATTTTCTTCTACTGAAGTCTTCTATGTAATCATGCCAGTAAAAATAGATTTTAAAAGATTTTTGTACCAAAAAAAGGAAAAACAGAATGGATTAGTACTTTAAAGTCACATTAATATATTTTTGGGAAAAAGAGAAAAAAAAGTATTAAAGTATTATTCAACAGTGATGAATAACAAAGATGATCAAATTGCTCCCAAGAAGTCCATAAATCTATGAGGGCAAAGGAGCTTTAAACAAACATCTACCATGTAATAAGGGAGTGTCACAGTGTTTGGGCAATGGGGCTTGGGTTCAGTGTGGAGGGACAGGTAGGAGTTCATCAAGAGGACCAGGAATGGGGCCCAGGGAAGATATTCCAGGAAGTGGGAATGGCAAGGGGGAAAGGCACGGAGTGTGATGAAGCCTAGAAGAACTGGGCACTGCAGCTTCTTGGCCTGGCAGACGAATGCGAGGGACTGGTGAGGAGAGGATGACATCAGAGAGACTGATGAGACCAAATGTAAACTTTTACACAACAAAGGCAACTTTTTCTCAGGAAGATAGGTGGCAGTGTGGAAGACAGACTGGCTAGGGTGGTGATGATAGAGGCAGAAAGACCCAGTAAGAGGCAATAGTTTCCTAAGAGGGAGTCCCCCGGGGGGACCAAGCCTAAGTCCCAGCCTTTGTATTTACACACAGTAGGTGTTGTAACTGATACTGAAGAATGACTTACCCATCGCCTGCTGAGAGAGTGTCTGCTCTTTAAACTGTATTTCCAAAAATGCCCTGTAGGAATGTGTGTGTGTTAGTCACTCATTCCTGTCCAACTCTTCGTGACCCCTTGGACTGTAGGCCATCAGGCTCCTCTCTCCATGGGATTCTCCAAGCAAGAATACTGGAGAGGATTGCCATTTCCTTCTCCAGGGGATCTTCCTGATCCAAGGATTGAACCCCGGTCTCCTGCAATGCAGGCAGCCTCTTTACCGACTGAGGCACCAGGGAATACAGGAAGGGCGACATTATATTTTGATTGGCGGCAGACAGTATGGGCTTATATTGGATTGTCTGGGCAAATTTATTAATAGGGTTGCCTTTCACTGTTAAGAATATCCTGTTTTTGATGATAAATTATGGTAACATGATCTTGGGGTAAGCCCTCTGGAAGGGACCTTGGTGGGTTCCTAGTTCTCTTTGTGGAAGTCTCGCGATGGTAGTGACGATGTCAGGAATCATGGACCTCATTTTTGCCTCCACCAGCCCATTCCTCCATGCCCTACCCTGGGAGGGGAAATGCCCCCATCGTGTCTCTAGAAGAATTATGGGAGAGTGGGTGGAGTTCTGGAATGAGACACCTGACAATTCGGTACTGTCTCCGGCTGTCCCCCCAAAACAAGCTGCACAGCCTTTGGCAAGTGGTCCACCTCCCTGGGCCTCGGGATTCTCTTGTGAGAAGCAAGACAGCGCAGCCAGACGGCTGCGGTTTCCTCCGGGTCTAACTCCCATAAGGGAAGTCGATTATATAGGGCGGCTCCCAGGAAGTCTTATCTTCCCTGGAGCATCACCACCAGCCCAGCTCTATGCATAATGCGCCGCTGTCCCGTTAATCCCGCNAAATTTTTTTTTTTTTTTTTAATGGAAGAGGCATTTTTATGAGCTGTTGCCTTGTAAGGAAAGAGGGTGGATGAGTGTACCTATTTCTCTCAAAGAATTAACATGGTGTCATCCCCAAACGGCAGACCAGGCGGACTGCCCAAATGAGCAACAAGTTGTTCTTTACTGGATTTTTTTTCTTTTTATCCTATTTCCAATAAATATTAATTTTCCAGAATAAATTTTGAAACGCTAAATTAAATAAATGTTAAAAAGCTGAAAGAGATCTAGACATTGTTTACCGGTCCCTTATTTTACAGGCTGCAAACCTTTGCTCAGAGAGGTTAAGTGACTTAGATGGGGAGTGTGTGTTTGTGTGTGTGTGTGTTTGGGCGGGGGCGGGAGAGGAGTTAATGAGGGAATCCCTGAAGAGGAACCGGGTGACCTTCTTCAGTCCCATGTGTCCACAACACCGGGAAAATACTAGTATGGATTCTTGGAAGTGTAGTAAAATTCTGGATTCTGCTAAGGAAATTAATGGTCAGCTCTGTTATAGGATTATTTGCTTTATAGCATTTGAACTCCTTTCTCTCTCCTTACGGCTGTGATGCCTGTCAATTTTCCTTTGACTAAAACTGAAGAAGAAGAAAGATAAGGTGAAACTCAAGCCAAGGCTTTATGATTATTGAGCAACAGACGTTAAAAATTTGTGAATGGACAGTTGCAATAAGGCTAATATGGTGTTTTAGGAACATCTCTGAAACTATTAACTCATGGGTGCAATAAGTCACATGAAACGTTCCAACTGCAAACTGGAAAATTCTCAACTAGAAGAACTCAACAAAGAGGATGCCTATAAAATGTTCTGGAGAAAGCTTAAGGAAAGTTTGTAGGATGAACCTTGAAAGTGAAATTCTACAGATGTTTTTTCTTTTTTTCCTTTGAAGGCAAGCTGTGAACAGATGTTTGCTAGGATATCAGTGTGAAGAAATGATACCCAAATGCATTGTGCAGGTATCTTTTGAGACTTCCTACGATTTATAGTCCAAAGGTGTGAAAAATGCCCCTTTTAAAGGTATGTGCTCGAGCCTGCTCATAGTGTCTCATGAGAGCCAGTTCTCAGGACTGTTTGGATTAGCTGTTCAACACAGCCATTGCTAAAACTTACATTATATAAACTCACAATTAGTTATATTAAAAGCAAAGGTAATAAGTACAACTCATCAGGTCCTAATTATTTCATTACAACTTCCTGCGTTTCTGAGTTTATTTACGTCTCTTGAATCATGGTGTGCCACTCTGCGTCTCTTCCCAACTCCATCTTCATGACCACATTGATAGTTTAAAATCAGCCAAGGTAGGACGAGGTATACTACGTGCTGTGCTGAGTCACTCAGTCGTGTCCGACTCTGCAACCCCACGGACTGTAGGCCACCAGGCTCCTCTGCCCATGGGGATTCTCCAGGCAAGAATACTGGAGTGGGTCGCCATACCCTCCTCCAGGGGATTTTCCCAACCCAGGGATCAAACCCAGGTCTCCGTCATTGCAGGCAGATTCTTTACTGTCTGAGGCACCAGGGAAGCCCAGGTACACCATGAAAATTGATAAATGCTACAAATCAAGGCTTTCTCCTTACCCTCCTTCCTACCCCAACTCCATGGCCCCCGAGGGACACACCACTGCCTGTTTGTTTTCTAGAATGCCAAGGAATGACTCTGTCCTGTTCACTCTTCTCTGACCCCTCTCTGCAGTGAAGTAGGCTTTGTCACCCCCAGCCTGAGCCACAGAATGTGTGCTGGTATCATTTCCATGTCTCCCTTCACTGGAGCTGGAGCCCTCTTCTAAGGCTCCAGGCTCTGTGTCCTTAACTATCCTGCTCTGGTATGTTCCACTTTGAAGACTCCTAGAGCAAAAAGTCCTTCAAGGCTCACCGAAGCAGAGCGATCACTTGCTCACTTTAAAGTTGGATGTGCTGTGTGTGCTTCGCTGCTCGTGTCCGACTCTGTGACCCCATGGACTTAATAGCCCACCAGGCTCCTCTGTCCGTGGGGACTCTCCAGGCAAGAATACTGGGGTGGGTTGCCATGCCCTCCTCCAGGGAATCTTCCCAACCCAGGGATCAAACCTGGGTTTCCCACACTGCAGGCGGATTCTTTACTGTCTGAGCCACTGGAGAAGCCCAATTTTTCTCATCAGTTATGAGTCATCTCTGGAAGGTCAAGTCTTTACTTCCATTTGGAATCTATGTAATCCTGAGTTTTGTCTTTTTTTTTTTTTTCCTGGAGTGATGTGGGTATCATAAGGATTGGTGCCTCTTAAAGTTTACAGTGCAGGCCCTGTTAAAATGCAGATTATGATTCAGTAGGTTTAGGGATGAGGCCTCAAATCCCAGATTTCTGAAAGGCTCCCAGTGGTTCTGTCACTGTTGGTAGAGGATCACACTTGGAGTTGGAAAGGTATAGAACACATCAGAATATCAAATCATTACTTCATTATGTTTGGTTATCTTTTTGTTTGTTTGTTTGTTTAGCTGTGCTGCCCAGCATGTGGGATCCCAGTTCCTTGACCAGGGATTGAACTTGTGCTGCCTGCAGTGGAATGCAGAGTCCTAGCCACTGGACCGCCAGGGAATCCCCTCATCATTACTTCAAAAGACAGAAAGGAGAAAGGAAAAATGGCTAGAAGGAGAAAGGACTGAGCAGGAAAAATGACAGGGAAGAATAAGATGAAGATCGTTAGACAATCAAGCACAGAGAAAAAGAAACCCTGGGCTCATTTTATCAAGGTATTCTCCCTCCAGGAAGGAACTTTATTACATCGAATCACAACTAGGAGCCTGGCTGCCACACCAGCTTCTTCTATTCCTTTTCCCTGGTAGAGAATGGATCTTTGTGGGTTACTGTGTCAGAGTGAAGAAGAAAAGAAAATCCTTACTTGCCATCGCCCAAACTGTGGAGTTAGTTTTCCTCTTCGGTCTGTTCTGAAAGTTATACTTCCTCCAGGCTCCTCTGTCCGTGGGGACTCTCCAGGCAAGAATACTGGAGTGGGTCGCCATACCCTCCTCCAGGGGATTTTCCCAACCCAGGGATCAAACCTGGGTTTCCCACACTGCAGGCGGATTCTTTACTGTCTGAGCCACTGGAGAAGCCCAATTTTTCTCATCAGTTATGAGTCATCTCTGGAAGGTCAAGTCTTTACTTCCATTTGGAATCTATGTAATCCTGAGTTTTGTCTTTTTTTTTTTTTTCCTGGAGTGATGTGGGTATCATAAGGATTGGTGCCTCTTAAAGTTTACAGTGCAGGCCCTGTTAAAATGCAGATTATGATTCAGTAGGTTTAGGGATGAGGCCTCAAATCCCAGATTTCTGAAAGGCTCCCAGTGGTTCTGTCACTGTTGGTAGAGGATCACACTTGGAGTTGGAAAGGTATAGAACACATCAGAATATCAAATCATTACTTCATTATGTTTGGTTATCTTTTTGTTTGTTTGTTTGTTTAGCTGTGCTGCCCAGCATGTGGGATCCCAGTTCCTTGACCAGGGATTGAACTTGTGCTGCCTGCAGTGGAATGCAGAGTCCTAGCCACTGGACCGCCAGGGAATCCCCTCATCATTACTTCAAAAGACAGAAAGGAGAAAGGAAAAATGGCTAGAAGGAGAAAGGACTGAGCAGGAAAAATGACAGGGAAGAATAAGATGAAGATCGTTAGACAATCAAGCACAGAGAAAAAGAAACCCTGGGCTCATTTTATCAAGGTATTCTCCCTCCAGGAAGGAACTTTATTACATCGAATCACAACTAGGAGCCTGGCTGCCACACCAGCTTCTTCTATTCCTTTTCCCTGGTAGAGAATGGATCTTTGTGGGTTACTGTGTCAGAGTGAAGAAGAAAAGAAAATCCTTACTTGCCATCGCCCAAACTGTGGAGTTAGTTTTCCTCTTCGGTCTGTTCTGAAAGTTATACTTCCAAGGATGATGGGAAAACGGGAGAGAGCAGCCCTGGGGGCATTCGTATATCAGGGAGGGGCGTTAGATTTCACATTGAAAACTCTCCAAGTTTAGTTCAGACTCTGAGATTTTCTAGGCAGTGGGACATCAGAGAAATAAATTCTGATCCCAACCACCAAATCCACTGAGTTTACCAGCATTCTTCCTATGCATTTTAAAATTCTTTTGTTGCTTTTGGGGGGAGGGGTTGGCTTGGGGTTTGGGGGGCGGCCCGGCTTGGTTTTTCGGCGGTTCAGGGTTGGGTTCGGGGTTTTGGGGCTTTCCCCTTCTGGGGGCCGGGTTGGCGGTTTTCTTGAACCCGGTTTTTTTCCATCTAAATTCACGTGGGTTCTTATTTCTCTTGCTGGCTGGGTCTGTAAGCGGACGGGGAAGTACTGTGGAGAGGCCCGTAGTGCGAAGCTGTGTGCCAAGTGCTTTGCAGATGCTTTAAAAATTCTTGCAGCATTCAGGTGCTGAAGAAATTTTGGGATTCCGGTGAGGCTGGTAAAAAAGCCTGTTGGGCAGCTGTGTCAGCGTGTTATGATGCCGTCTCGTACCAACCTGACTACTGGAATTCCCAGTAGCAAAGTGAAATACTCAAGACTCTCTAGTACAGATGAGGGCTACATTGACCTTCAGGGAGAAACTCACTGCTAAAGCCAGCAGATTGTGGGAATCTTCCTTCTTTCCTGATGTCATGAGATCCAATTTATTAAAGTTTAAGAGAAGCCCTCCTAAGATCCCACTTAAGGCCATTGCCCTTGCTACAGCGCTGTTTTTGATTGGCGCCTTTCTTATTATCATAGGCTTCCTCCTGCTGGCAGGCTATATCAGCAAAGGCGGGCCAGACGGGCCTGTTCCTGTCCTGATCATTGGCATCCTGGTGTTCCTGCCAGGATTTTACCACCTGTGCATCACCTACTATGCATCCAAAGGCTACCGGGGATACTCCTATGATGACATTCCATACTTTGATGACTAGCACCCACCCCAGCCCTGAAGAAAAGAGTCACAGATGAACTGAGTCCAGCTTTAAGACATTGAGCAGAAACTGTGACTATGGGCTAAGGAGTTCTGCAGTTTGCAGATGTTTAACCAAACAGTGGCCAAATTGTATGGGTCCATCCTGAAAGATGTTAACTGAGCTCACAAGTAACTGTCATTCCGGCATTCTCTTACTTTTCATTTTCTGGCCCTGGCAAAAAGTTCCTGACAAAAGTTTTTCTGTATGAATATGCCTCATGGGAGAGTAGCAATATTAATTGAATGGGAAAGTGGGAGGTTATGCTGTAGTGGAAAGTGTTCTGCCACCACCCTTTTTAGAGTTGAGCACTCTTTTTTTTTTTGAGCATTCTTTTAAATAGTCCTCATGGACTATTTAACATAGTCAGAATGTTCTTATGGCAAATGGAAGAATGCAATATGTCAGATTTCTTATTACTAAGAAATTTATTTTGAAAATATCTAAGTGTCTTCTCCCCATACTCTTTAACTTTGTGTTCTAGTGGAAGACCTTGGCACAATCAAATATCATGGTGGTGCATCTATAATATTTTTTACTTGCTTTCTTATTAACAACAACTAGGAATTTTTTAAACCTCAAAGCAAATTTTCAAAATGTAAACACTTTTCTGTGTACACCAATCCTTGGCCAGCTCTGATCTGGCTCACTGATAGGTTGACCAACATATAATTTGGATCATTCTGTCCTGTGTAGATCAAGATGTTCTTATATCATACCTTTATGGACTAGACTTTTTGCTGTTTCCTAAGGAAAAAATGTAGATGAATAGTTATTATTTAGAGTTTATAACCCTGTTGTTAGCACCTTGTGTTAATGTCATTCTGCTGAAGATTTTAAGAATTGGCCTGGATCTCTAGAGGACTGGACTGCCTTAGCTTGATCTGCCTCCTAGCTTGCAAAAAGTGACTTGTATTCAAAAGAAATTAAAATGTCAAAATCTAAATCCTAGAAAAAAGAAAAAAGAAAAATTTTGTGCTGACTTTCCCAAACATGTCCCAACTGACTGATTATTTCAGGAATAGCTGACATTTTTCGAGTGCTTGCTAAGGATTAGGTAAATGAGAGAACTTGATGACTGTGTTGGTATTTCTATTTTATCAGTCAGTTGACTTAAAGCAAGGATGGGGAAAACTATGGCCCATTGCCTGTCTTTATCTGACACATGAGCTAAAAATAGATTTTAAATAGCTGAAAAAATAGAGGGAAAAAGAACATTAATTAGTGATTCATGAAGATTACATGGCATCCAAGTTCCAGTGTCCATAAATAAAGTTTTATTGGAATACAGACACTCCCATTCGTTCACATGCTGTTTCT